GCTCAAATTCAGCCACCGTGGGACAACAAATGGCAACATGTAGCTAACTAGTGGCAGAGCGAGGCGGACATATGTTCTCTTTGTGTGTTTTGTTTGTGTTTGAGCGTGGGGAGGGGAAGCAGCAGGTGTGCCCAGCTGTGTGTCTGAAGAGAGGACGTCAACACCTCTGGGAGTCAGAGGAAAGTTTTTGGCTCCTCGGATTCTCTGCTAGCAAAGGTGAGCTAAAACCTGATCCATAAAAATGTGAAATTCCCCTCTAGGGATTAATAAACTATTTCTCCAGAGGCGAATATTACTCCACTTAAACCCTTTTGAGATTTGTTAATTTCATTTAATTCATTCGTTCAGTTTTATGTGACGGCTAAACTAAATTATATGCAAATATATATATATATATATATATATATATATATATATATATATATATATATATATATATATATATATATATATATATCCTATGTGTGCATGGCACATGCAGCCTTCAAACTGTAAAATGTGATAAGAGGAGAGAAATGTTACGTTCCAACTTTCCTCCAAAACCATTAACCTTTGTAAATTATAAAATTATCATTATGAAAAACTAAAATGTGACGAAGACTCGACTTAATCCCTGGTTCCCTGCCAGTTTTAAAAGACAAGGCTGCGGTTAACCCTCTGATAAGGGAGAGGGAACTAAACTGAAACTTTACTTCCTGTTTCCTTCCTTTTATAATTTTTTACTGTAAACACGAGTTAAGCCATTCACTGCTGCAACAAAAGCTGTTGATGTGAGGATGTGTCTGCAGGCTGATTCTTTTACTGGAGCAACAATGTACAAACAATCATCGGCTGCTACTTAGCACGCGCGCACAAAATGGCCTCTGCGACAGCAACGCAAAACCCTGAGAGCTTTCTCAAGCGGCAACAAGCCCTCTCGATCCCCTGCACTGGTGTATTGACCCAGGTAATGGAGATAATGGATGTTATTCACATCGAGAGAAAGATCAAAAAGGGAAAGGAAACGCTTTGTTTCAACAATTCCTGGTCCCAAGTGCACAGCCATTATTCTGGTTTAGCAGGGAAGTGATGTGCTGCATCCAAACACCAGCTGCACAGATATCACTTAAAAACAAACCATTTGTGAATCTCTCTCTGTCTCTGCCTGGCGTTGGGGGGGAACACTGCAGAATTAAGACCATGATCTCACTGTAACGCTTTGGAGCCAACATTTGATGCAAACTTAGCCGAGGAGCAACAGCTGAGCCCACATGGCCGTGCAACACCCCGAATAACCTGGAATCCTGAAACCTTTTCCAGAGACAAACACTCCCGGAAGGTCAAACGAGACAATAGCGTCAAGCAACATTGTCTGTAAGTTCAGCTTTAAACATCTGAATTATTTATGGGACATCCTGAAACACACTGGGAGTTGCAGAGAAGTCTGAAAGTCACTCACATCAAATGCTCTCTTTTATTTAGCTATACCTAAAGAAAAACGTAAGAAGAGTTGATTCGTTCCCAGTTTTGAGTTTAAATCACGTAACATTATCTAGTTTTCAGTAAAAGTAAGACAGCTGTGTTTTAGTTAAAGATCTGTTTGAAGATGCAACTGTGCAAAACGAGTTTTTTTTTATTTATTGTTAATATTTTTGCCTTTAAGCAGCCTTAAACTTTAGTGTTTTGTCTAGACGTGGGTCATTTTAGCTTGAATTTCCAGGAATTTTCTACTCATTGCCTGATCATTTGCAATTGTTTGTTGACTAAGTCTTTAAGGTCAAATTAATAAACCAAACAGGGTTTAAAGGGCACCTATGAGCTCAAGCAATGAATCTAAGCAAACGCCTTAAAGAAACACATTTGAAGTGTTTCCTTGATGCATAAATTGAGTAATTTGTTAATTTCCTTCAGATTTTAATCAACTATCTCAATCCTAGAAAATTTTTTCTCTGTTGTGTGATGAAGTCATTTAAAAACATGAAATCAGTTTGTCATAACTGGATCTGGCTGATCAGATCTCAAAGTAAACAGAACTAAATTAACAAGGAAAAGCTTGATCGGCGCATCTTGTAATGGAAGCGAGAAACAGTATTTAAGCTTCATTACAAGTTTAGAGAGCTACATAAGATTGAAGTATGAATGCAGGTGCAGTTGCAACAAGGGCATTTTTGTGGTCCTGTAGAAGAAGCCGTTCTCAAAGGAAACGGTCTTTTACATAAAAAGCAAACTCAGAAATCCCAAACATTTTCCAAACAAGAACCACTTTCCGCTGTTTCCAGATGACTCAAGCTCTGTCTGCTGTTTCCTTTCCAGGAGTCACAAGAGATCTGGATAATGTTTCACTAATCCCAACAAGCATAAACTCACAAAGACAACTTTGGACAACTCCAGATTGATAACATGATGTGATGGCCTACATCAAACAAACGGCGGAGGGTGGCTCCTTTTCCCTGCGTTTTGCACGGGGACACAAACACAACATGAAATGCTCCAGACTTTCACTTCAGAAGCAGGACACGCTTTCCCCACACACCGGGGTTTGATTTTATGGTAGTTTTTAAATGTGTTGGTTGAAAAAGGCCTGAGGAATACACGTATTAGAGTTAAGTGGCGCTCCCAAAGTTATGTGTCACATCGTAGTTTCTATAAACACAACTCAAACAAACTATGCTCACAAATCATCCGAAGAGACAAGAAATGGCCTTATGTGACTGCAGAAGTGTGCCAGAAGAGAAGTCTGAATTTAGGGACTTTCATTTCAAAGGAATTCGGATCTGCTGATGCCGGGCCAGATTACCGAGCTGCAATGTTTCTGTGCTGTGGTCGTGACGCAACAGGGGCATTTATTGTGCCTGATCAGCTCTCTTCTTCTTCTGAGCTCATGAAACTGAGGCACAGCGCCACTTTTTTTTTTTTTTTTTTTTTTTTTTACAATTTTATACAATACAACTGAAAACTTTAATGCATTTCTTGAAGGAAAATAAGACTTATTATACTTATTTTCTGGCAAACATTTCTATTATCCCTGTCTCTTTGACACCTTTCACTGAAAGTGCTTTCATTGGCTGATGAAACAGAATCCATCCATCGTTTATTCTCAGCATGGATCCGTTTTAAAGCCTCAGAGTTTCTTATGTAAGTGAGCAAACAGCATCATAAAGACCAACAAACGCAGAACAAGAACTTCAAACGTCCTTCGAATCGCCGCAGAAATAGAGAGGTTCAAGCTGGAAGAGTTGCCAGTAACTCTGGAGGAGCTGCAGAGTTCCTCGACTCTGGTGCCTACCCCTAGCAGGCGTTTGGCAAGAGGCAGGGAACAACCTGAAACAGGTAAGGTCTGTTTACCACAGGACAAGCACCCATGCAAACCTCAGGGCAATTAGAGCGAACAATTAACCTAAGAGTCATGTTTTGGGGAGGAACCAGAGGGCCTGTGGAGAACTGACACATAAACTGAGAAAACATGCAAACAGAAAGACTCCTGCAGGCCAGGACCTGCATACCAGTTTTATCGCTGTGCACTGTGGTGGTTTTAACTTTGGACTGATTCAGGGCATCTTAGATTTTATTTGTGAAACATTTTTTAAGATTTGCTCAAAAATATGTCCTTCATTCTCAGAGCTACAGACTATTTTGTGCTGGTCTGCCACATATAATCTGGATAAAATACATTGCAATCGGAGGTTGAACTTCTGCTTGCTTGACACTTCATTTGTTGTTTAACAAATGAAGTGTTAAACACTTCATTTGTTAAACACAAAACATTTAGTGTTTTTTTTTCTCTTTCTTTTCATAAAATGCAGCAAAAAAAAAAAGGAATAACATTCGAAATGTTCTTACAGCTTCACACTCTATCTGCAATCGCACGAGATCACAAAACTGATTAGGACGACAGAATGAATGGCTGCATGGATTTATGTATTTGTGATGTATGACTTCAGGATGCCAGAAAGTCACCAAAGGACAAGACCAGGAAGTGGGCCTGCTAACGGGAGCGAGAACACGAAGAGATCACAGACAATAGCCTGAACTCAAACAGAGGTTCAGCACAATACATCAAGGATGAGGAGGAGGAAGAGGAGGAAGGTTTGTGGGGTTGGTGACAAACAGGGATATGGAAAAGGTAACAGCGTGAGGAGAGTCAAAGGGGAAGACAGGAAGGCCTGCGCCGGTTGAAGAAAGAACCAGCAGTAAATCTTGTGCTTAAGAATGCATAAAATTATAAACATCTCAGGACTTTCTATTAAAAGAAAAGGCGCTGCGCTCCTACACATGAGAGCAGATTTCACAGCGTGTCAACCCCCTCCACCCCCCCTCTCTCTCTCTCCAAGCCTGAGCAGCGCCACATAAAGTTCAGACGTGCGTTTCAGAGTGGAAGGAACATAGTGGAGCTATTCTGTGCTGCCCAGGAAGCCCGGAGCCACTTGATCACTGCTGGGACAGTGACAGAGAGCAGACAGAGATCTCCCTCATTCTGCACCTCTGCGGGCGCTGCTGCTGCTGCTGCTGCTGCCAGCTAAAAATACACGCAGTCCAGCAGAACTTCAGATAGTAAGCAACAGATAGTATGGAAACTTGATCAGTATTGCAGAGCAGCTTCCCAACTTCACATGCAACAAGTGAACAAGTTGGACTCTTATTCATGTCATCCACTGGACTACTTAGACCTCTGTTGATATAAGCAGCAGAATTGTATCAACATGAGTTCTGTGCAAAGGGAATGCATTGAAATTAACAGGAAAATGTGTTCACTTCAATCTGGAATAAAAGAGTGTAAAGGATTCCTGAGACTGTGGGTGAAACAATTCAAGTTAAATAAGAACAGATAAACAGCTTCCTTCAGTGGCTATGATAATAGTAACAGAGTTGGTCTTAACTTCGTTACAAGTCATGCTCGAATGTGACAAATGCTCTTCTTGCTTTCTTTCACTTTGCGGCGTGTCTGTGTAGAAATCCTGCAAGGCAGTCCTGACTGAAGCAGCCCAGTCCTTCCTGAAACCCAGCAGCAGCGACTCACTCACCTCCCCAGGTGTGAAGGAGGCACAGCAGGCCCAGCAGCAGAGGAGAGGCAGCGTCCCGTACAGCCATGGTGGTCGGGCGGAGGCAGAGATGTGTGTGCTGAGGTGTGTTTAGAGGAAGTCTGCTCCTCACTTGGTGAACTGCTTCGATACACACAGCAGAGAGAGGGAGAGAGAGCGGGCGAGAGAGGGGAGCAGTGTGAGGAGGCAGATGATGCAGAGAGAGAGAGGGAGGGAGACAGGAACAAAGTTCCTCCACTGCAAAAAAAAGGGATGAAGGCTCTCAGACACTTTGACAGGCTCATCTACTGCTACCCTGCCTCTGATGTTCCTTTATAACTCTCCTGTAGCTGCACTGTGTCTACTTTCTAGAGATAATTAAACCGACCCATGCACTCATCCCAGTGCTTATCGAGCAGGCAAGTTAGATATCTTTTGCAGCGGAGAGAAAGAAGGAGGAACAAATGGGGAAGAGAGAGTGCAAGACAAGCAGAGAGGAGGGCGGGTGCCTGAGAAGATACGCAAATGATGCAAGCAAGTTGTTGCTTGAATTGCCACACCTCTGTTGTTTCTGAAACGCAAACGTTTCCTTAATGAAAGGGCAAAATCTTGGTTATCTTTCTTTACTTTCACCAGCAGGAAACCTCAGTCCTGCTGAGACGGTTTGGAAAGCCTCTGGAGGTCTTGATGTGTGGGAGTGGTGCTCAATCATAAAAACACTCAGGACCAGGTCTTTGATTTTGAATTGCATGTAATCATTGACTGGCTCAGCTTGGTTTTATTGCATCGCCTGCTGGCGAGGAAGCACTTGGTGAAGGTGTGCCAATCAGTTTGCACAATAGAAAGATTAAAATAAGATCCTATGTAAATTTAGCTCTGAAAAGAAAATAAATCCTGGATAAAGACCCATTAGAGCATGTGAAGACTTGAAACTGGGGCAGTGGTTCACCTTCCAGGAGGAAAACAGCCATAAACCTGGAAGACAATAGTTTAAGTCAAAGCGCATTACAGCCAAGTCAAAGTCCAGATGTTGATGTAACCAAATCGGTTTGTAGGCCACCTGATAAACATGACCTTTAATGTTTATCAGAAATATCTGGTTTCAACAGTCGATGATCCACTTTTCAGTTTATTGGTGGTGGTCATCAAATTTCTATGACATGTTATTTTGTGTCAGAGTTCACCAAACCCTGCAGGCCGACATGTTTCAGAGCATCATAGGTTCAACACTGTGGTGCTTTTTTTTGACATTTTCCTCTTTTTTTTTTATCATATGAAACACATCTGGAATATTTATTGTCTGAATCTGTCTACCTTAAAATAAAATCTCAGTATTTCAGCTAAAACAAAAGTAAAACTTATGTTTTCAATAAACTGACATATTTAAATACAGGTGTTTCTATTCATTTTAATCAGTATAGCTTACAAATTCATGTAATGTAAAGTGCAAAATTCGTTGTTAGAAAATTTGATTATTACATAAAATCAATAAAAACATTTTTTTTACATTGGCTTAAAAAAAAGGTTGCATCATTCAAACAAAAACATATTTCTAGAGAACATAAACATCTTTCCAACAAAAATTGTCTATTGCTGCTAAAATAACCATACGCTAAAATACAGAGGATGTAAGCTACATTTCCTCCTTGGTAGGGAAAGTTGTTAAAGTTTGCAATTCACTGAGGAAAACCTACAGTTCCTAAAACAGCCACATTTTTCTGCCACCTAATCTGTAAATGAAGACTGAGCCTTTAAAACAGCAGCTGGGTGTGGCTGAGGGAGAGTAAATAATCAGACATAAGGGGGGATTTTTTTTTTTCCACTCAAAATTCCACATGAGCAAATTTGAAGAATGTCCCCTTTTCAACCTTTTTAAATATGACATCCTGGACAGGACTTTTGGGAATACCCAAGGACCGCTGGGTTTGGGAATGAGGCAGAGGAAACGCGCGCTGTCCACTCCCCCACAAAGTTCCCAAGGACCGCAGAGCTGTGGGCCATTTACATTGGCATTCGTAAACCTCCGTACTCACAAGAGGAAAAACATTCATATGCTTTCCAGACCAATATCTAGTTTGTGTTAATAATTAAATAAACAAATTCAAGGTGCGATTTATGAACACTGTTCATGTTTAACTCTGGGAACTTTTGCGCATAACTGGGAATTATTTGGGATTAAACACTTGGTCTGTTCACGTTTTTAACCAGTGCAATTAATTGTTAAAAACAAGCTAAAAGCACAAAACCTGAACAAGGAAACATTGAGCCTGGTTGGGTTCGGATGGTTCAGGATAACTGAATGCCTTTTTTGTGCTGAAGTAAAAGATTTTAATTTGGTCCTATAGGAACAAAATTTTCCACCGAGTTCAATAACATACAGTTCCCTAAAGACGGAGGAACCAAGAAAAGACGTGAAGAAACCACACTGACAAATCTAACTTTTGCGGCTCATGGTGAACCTTTGCCTCTATATGCTAGATTATATTAAGGATTTGCAGCGTAATCCATCGTACACATTAACAGAGTTATGAAAGCATCAAATAAAGGCAAGATTAAATTCTTAAAATTCAAGTTCTATCTTACCTTTTTATTTACTGCTGAAGATAGATAATCAAGCTGAACAGTATTTGTTTTGAAACACTAACCTACTCACATGCCCCTGAATATTTAAGCGTTTTTATTTTGTATTAGAGAATACCAATAGCTGTGTTACTGCTGTATTAAAATCAGTCTATATGGTACAATTACACTCTGAGTCTGATGAAGAACCAGATAGTGTTATACTCACAGCTTTGTGAGTATAAAACTGAGATTTTGTATGTTATATTTGTTAATTAAATGAGAGTGGTCCCAGAGCCAATCCCTGTGGAGCTGCATTAAAGTACCTAGAATAATTATTTGTGCTTTCATAACCTGAGTGCCGTTCACTTGAAGGAACATCATCAAACCAGCTGACATTAACAGAAACCTCAACTTTTTGCTTTAGCATAGATATGAGCAACTGAGTCAAAAAACCTTTATTTTTTGTAGCCAGACTGAAAACTTGAAAATAATTAATTTGAATAACAGAAACAAAATCTAGGTCATTGTTTCTAATGGTGGTTTGTTAGTGCTGTTACAGGGCTTACGTCAAAAATAAAATGTGTAAATTAACACTTGTCTCTGCTCCTGACCCTGGTCCTCCTGAAACATTAACTCCTGATTTCAGTGTCCCGACCGCTCCTCGGAGAATGATGATAAATCTTCTTGTTTATCTCACCGGAGTTCACAGTGCTGCGCTCACAGGCTAAGGAAAGACTAAAGGAAGGAAGGGGAGGAAAAGAAGTCATTCTTTCCTAGCCACTCAGCCCAGACCCAAGAGCAACTTGTTTTGGGGGTCCAGGATGAGAGACGGCCATTGTACGAGTCGCTCCAGTAGACGTGGGGGCTTTGAGAGGGCACCAGTTGATTGAAGGAGGAGTGGGAGAGAAATCTGAATTTCTGCTAAACTCCGTCACCACAGCGGGGAGTGGGACAAAGAGACACTGTGACAACCGCAGCAGCAGAGAATTTCGCATTGCCTCTCCATGGTGATTACATGTTGTAATGGCATTAATCACAATAAATTAACCCACTGATGTGTTTCTCCCATGTGTCATTCTGAGTATAGTTTGGCATTAAACAGAACATAAAATGACAACGTACGAGATTAAATACTTGAGTTTGGATAAAGACAAGATAAATGTGAAGCGATCGGCATGTTGCTGATTCAAACCCTTTCCATGGATGAAGTTTTGTTTCTTCTAATAGTTCAGATGTAAATAAATAAGATAAGAGTAACTCCAGAACCGATCCCTGTGGGACACCTTTGTCTATGTTAAAGCTGCAATATGTAACTTTTTGAAAACATTTTTTTCTTTTACATATATGTTAAAACTGTCACTATGAGACAGATAATCTCTGAAAAAAATCAAGCTCCTCTGTCTTCTCCCATACTGGTTACCATGGCCACCGATCACAGCTGTAAACAATTTTCTAGTAACAGTAAGTTGTTTCACCACCATTAGCACACTGAACTGGGAATACACGAGGATAATTGACAGCGCTAAGACCTTCCTCCTGGCTGTGATTGGTTGTTTTTGGTCAAGAACCGTGTATTTCTTCAGACACCTCAGGAAGGAGGTGAAGGAGACCCATCATTTCACACATTAACTAATTTTTCCATAAAAGTTACATACTGCAGCTTTATGAATATGACAGAAATATAACATTACAAACAACACAATAAAAACGTAATTATTTTTATAACCTCTAATGCATCTGAAACGTACCTAAAAATCATGTTTCAGTTCAGAAAAATAAACAACATTGTCATCGATTCTAATAAGAGGCCACATTGGCTTTTGTCTCAAGAATAAGAAACTTATAAAGACGTCAGAGGTTTGTGAGTGACAACAAGACAGTTCAAGCAAATGTTTTTAATAAAATAACTTGCCGCTGCTTTGCAGATGCTGCGTTATGCGTCATGGAGCAGGAAGCTGCTGCTGCTGCCTGCAAACTGTTGAACATCCTGCAGATGCACAAACAAAGCCCCGAGAAGGCAGGAATGTCACACTGCGGGACCCCCGACATTCTTAGTCCTCCCCTCTCTGAAGTTAAGGAAGCCATCACTGCTTCCTTAACTTCACCTTTTACTCTCCGTCTTCTTTCAGTCACTGCTTCTGAGTGCGCAGTAGAGATGGGGAAATTTGAGAGGAATTCAGGGTCGCCATCTGGGTCTTGACCAGTCTGCACTCCACTGATTTCTACGGAGTGGAGTTTGTGTTTTTTTCCCCCAGAGTCAGCCAAAACCCGCTCGCGCTGACTCTGAACATATTCTAGATCTCCAGAGTCATCTAGAATATGTTCTAGATGACATATTCTAGAACATGTCATCTAGAACAGAGACTGATGGAGTTAAATGCAGGAAAAACATTTAAATTCAGCAAAAAAAAAAAAAAACCCAACAAAAAAAACAACTTGAGATTTGTGTGATCTTCCAGAGAGCATTTCTACATCTTGCTCTTTCAGGACGGGTAAATTCAAACACACACCACACTTTTCAGATTGTAAATACAGTTTAAAACCATGCATGATTATTATTTTTACTTGGGGGTGGCACACACACGCACACACACAC